TTGATGATGATACTAATGACGAATCTGATGATGAAACTATTGCTGAGGCTCTTAAGCGAAAGAAGAGGGATAAAGAGCTGGATGAAACCTTGAGGGTTGCAAGGGAAGCAGAGGAGAGGGAAAGGAGGAACAAGGAAGAAGAAGAAGCCTTAAACTGCAAACAGGCCTTGTTTCCCCTTTGGACTAGAGAGACACACTTATCAATCAAGCTATTGAGTTTCCAAGTGTTTATTGGTTGGAACCCGTTGCTTCGTTTGACTGTGACAATTCTAAGGACTCGCAGTTTGACATGCCGATAACACGAAAGGCATTCACGTTTCACTGTTTCGATTCGACTGCTGAGGTTCCTTTTCCTCATCCAAAGGTTGCTCGTGAGCTTATAGACTTTTATTTGAAGTATGGTCAACCGCAGTACTTGACATGGAGCGCACAGAAGATAATAATTTTCAAGGTACTGAAGCCTACGCCTGCTGGGAGGTTTATAAATGTTAATTTTAAAATCACATGAGGATCTGCAAACTCGGTGTCGATTATTTCCCTGGCAGATCTCCCAAATCTAAATCCTCATGACTGGATTCTTTTGTTTAATATTCTGCTCACAAATCCGAGGAAATATGAGCCGATATTGGATCACTTGAAGAGGATGTTGGCTTCTTACATCCATGAGGTTGCAGCTATGGATCACGAGATAGCGAGAGTCATAAACAAGAAACCGACGGTTAAGCCAACACCGAAACCAGGAGATGTAAATAAGATGAAGATGGGCCAAATCGATTCAACACATCTTACTGTGATGTTCACAAAAGGCGAAGCCAAATATATTTATGTTCCCTCTTGTTGATAAACATCTGTTTTCAACAGACTGCTTGGAGCACATCATCAACATTATTCATCGGTGCAAGCAGAACTCAGAAGCAGACAAAAAGAACTTCACGGACATGCTTCGGTGGTACATAATGTTTCATCATCATTTGCTGGCTATCATTCCGAAGGTGTTCAAAACAATAAAGAAGTCTTCTGCAGCTCAGCCGAAGTGAGCTTTCGGCTCCATTTTGACACAAAGGGGGAGATTGTAGAGTCCAAATGTGTTGCCTCATGGGCTTGTGTTTTGTATCCGGATTGGCCTGTCCATCCGTGATTAGCTGTTAGGGTTAGACTATAAATAATGCATGCATGTATGCATTAGAAGGTTAACGTTTGAGATTATTATCGTATTAGTTTTGTAACCCTAAACACCTTTACAGTCGAAGTTCTTAATCGAGCTCTTCTGAGGTGTTAAAGCATTAATCATACGACATATTCAAAGCCATTCTCGTGTTCATAATTACGTTCTTAATTGTTTGCTTGCATAGAATCTAACGATCCTAATTGAACTTTGATTCAACAAGACTATTAATTAGTCACGGTAAATATTAGACTAAAATCTAGTGGTAATAATACTAGGTTTCGTCGAAGGAAATTATATTATTAAGAAGCGGAGCGTTGTCCGAGTTTGGAGTCATCACTTTAACAAGTGAGTGCATAGTTACTTTCATCTTACATATAGACATGAAGTATTTAAATTACGTGCTATGTGTGCATATTATCTGTGTTTATGATATCTATGTTGGATGAACAAAATATACATGTTTTATTTTATTTAAACTGTATACGTATTTTATACCTATAAATTACAATGGGTAAAGATGGTTAGATGAAAGATGACTTGGATGATGAGATGAAAGGTGATATAGATCATGAGATGAGGGTGAGAGGTGAAAATGAGAGAAACCTTTACCCAAGCGTTGGCCCCGTCATCTAGCAGAGTATGGATGACAACCACAGACTATTCTAGACGGTCCAGTGGAACACTAGCCGGCTCGCAACCTGTAGGTGTTTTGAACGATATGTTCACCCGGTATACTCTAAAACCCCATTGACATGTATTGCGGGTGGACTCTCGAAAATAATATTGTCAATAAATGAGATAAACACTAGCAGCTAAGGACTTTAGCGCCTGTTGGATGAACCATGGCAACTATAGACTTACTGTCTGTTATATAAACCCTGGCAACAATGGACTTCATGCCTATTCCTTAGGATAATCCTTAGGAGTAAATAATGAGGAATAGATGATTCATAGGGAAGATACTTAAGAATAAAGAAGATAATGGGGATGGGTAATTGAGTTAATTGTTTGATGATGAAACATAATAACTTTATTATTATGGGCTTAAAACGCTATGTACTCACCAGGTTTCCCAACCTAACCCACTCAGTTTATTTGTTTCACAGTTGTCGAGATGAAGCTACATTACACTGAGATTAAGGAGATCACTAGTGTAAATAAATGTAAGTCTGTTTATGCTTATGTTTCTGTATTGACGATGACATCCCAATGTTTTAAAACGAATAAAATACATTTCTTCGGAAATGCTTTGATAATATATTTATCATGTTTTTCTGGGAAACAAATTCCACAACATTTTTCTTTAAAAAGGATACTCTGATTTTCAAATAAAGAATAAACACATAGGTCTTTTCTGGCCGTGAAATTGGGGATGTCACAGAAATTCACTAAGCTTTATGCTTACCCAATTGTTTATTGTTTCAGGTATCATCGATGGCTATAAGAAGACGAAGGCGGGACTGTGCACACGCATTCGTGGCAGTAACGATTCTGCGTCTTCAATAAAACTCTGATTTTATATAAATATAATTTGGAATAAATGGTTTTCTAAATAATGAAATTATAAATTAGAAAGTTTTACCTAAATAACAATGAAAAAAATTTGGTTGTGAAAATGGGACGTTACATTAACAATCATAATTATTACTCAATTATTTTCAAAAAAATTATTAAGTAACAAAGTTATGTAACATATTTCACATGCAACATTCTGATAACCATGATATTAATTATATATTTACAAACCGCTATTTATATAAAACATTGGATGCTTGCTTAAATTATAAGTTTTTTCCTTGAAGTTGGGTTCTTTAATATGACATAATTGTCATTCCAATTCTTATTCACATTGATGAGTTGATTTTTGGGATTAGATTGATGAGCTGATTTTTTTGATTTCTGGTTTTATAGGATTAAAATCAAAAGGAACCAAAGTATACATTGATTGAGGTGTAAGATGTTTTAAAAAAGAATACCATTGGCTGTCTAGAAAAGTGTCAATAAACGCATATAGATTTAAACCGGCCTAAAATAAAGGGATTCTTCCATATTTATTTATTTTTATCTAATATAACAATTGAATGCTTCAGCTGTTATATGACAACTCTAATAGATTAACAGTTGACAAAATATTAATTAGAAGAATCAAAAGAATGACAAGTGGTTTATTAAATATAAAGTGTAATTGAGTGACATATGACAAAATAACTATTTTTTTATTAGAAAATGAAGATGAAGATATATATAATTTCAAATTTTTAGAATTGATCGTTGAGGTACACATATAATGTGTTTCTTATATTTATTGTGTGCAAGAATGCACCAATAGGAAATTAGGTAAATTAAATAATTATTTAGTTAACTAAAAATAGATATTAAATGATTTTCATAACTGTATGTATATTAAATGATATCCATAATTATTTTTTTTATGGAAACTAATTAAATTCGTCATCAATGCCAGCAATAATATTCTTTTAGAATGAATTCGCATCTAGGTTTTTCATGTTTGGGTTCGTGTTTTGTTTATAGACTCACATACTTAAAATAAAAAAAGTTGCATAGAATATGAAGAACGAAAGTGTATTATACTAGAATGCATTATTATTCTGTTAGAATATACTCTCATTCTTCTAGAATAAACTCTCATTCTACTAGAATACACTTTCGTTCTCCATGTTCTAGGCAACTTTGTTGTATTTCGAGTGAGTGGGTCATGAAACAAAATACGAACCCATAATGAAAAACTAGATGCGAATTTATTCTGAAATAATATTATTGCTGATATTAATGACGAATTTAATTAGTTTCTATAAAAAAGAATTATAATTATGGAAATTATTAATATACATATAATTATGGAAATCATTTAATATTTATATTTATTTGATTAAATAATAATTTAACTTTCACTAAATTCTTATTTATGCATTCTAACACACATTAGATGTGAGAAACATTTGAACCTACTTTTATATATATATATATATATATATATATATATATATATATATATATATATATAAAAGATAAAAGAAAGGTAAACATAAATCACTCTTTTTACATTGATTAGGGACCAAATTCAAAACAAAAACAATTAATAAAGACCGTAAAAATAAAAAAATAAAAATAATAGATAATTACATAACAACCGTGAAAATTACCCCAACACATGGACCATTTGTATAATTAGTGCTAAATTTTAATTGTTAATCTTATCTCCCTATTCTAATAAATGAATAAGTTTATTCTTCTATTCACAAGTGTCATAATATTAGAACTCCTTATTATTATTATATGTCACATATTATGCCACTTGTCAACCTATTAATTATTCATTTCAAATTTCAAATTTTAAATTTCTCACTCTATTTACATTAAATTAATAATTGATGCTCCATTTTAAATTTCAAATTTTAACTTTTTTCACTTTAATTATATTAAATTTACAACATTAGATTAAAAAATAAATAAAATAAAACAAATATAGGTGAAGGATAAAACTTCACGTATTTATTTAAATCAAATATTATAATTTTATATAACTAAAAAATATCTCTTAAGTAATAATTTATTTAAAATAATTGATTAATAATTTTAATTTTTTAATATGAAAGTTTAATTAATTTTATAACCGTGGTTCTCACGGATTATAAACTAGTTTTGAATATATATTGATTCCGATATATCTACCAAAAATACACTCATCCTGCATCAATTATTACTTTTGGAGTCCTCTACGCAATTCTCCAATATGCTTTCATTCGGCATTCGTCAATAGTTATTAAAAACAACTAATGTTTTTTGTCATTATTTATTATATTTTAAATTTATCCATTCATTATTGATTGCACGTTTGCCTTTGGGTGAAGCACCCTAAGAAAATTGACTTGTAGACGCCATCTTAGTTTACACTAAGCTATTATAAAAGGACTTGCAGCCATACTTTTAGGATCTACATGCTACAATGCCCATAAATTCGCCTCCAACTGTTTAATTCCTATTTTTATCATGAGTCCTTCACTCCATTCTACCATGTGGTTTACATTTTTCTTATCTTGTTCCATTTCTTTGTTACATCATGCATCATCTTCTTCAGTTTCTCCTTTATCGCACACGAAGCTGTTGGACTCCATGGATGGGTTTCAGAACTATACTGCAATATCAGATTTTCGACTTGTAAATAGAAGAAAACTTGGAGCTTGTTTGGGCAAAAACCCATATCGGAAAATACAAGTGAACTCAAAATCTGAGCTTTCAGATGACCAGATGATCACAGTGACTGTTAGTGGTGTGTTACTTCCTTCCAAGAGTGATTGGGTTGGTATGATAACACCTTCAAATGCTAAGTAAGTTTATATATATTTATGTATGTAAGATGTAAGATTGTAAGTAGATGTTTGTGTAATTATGGTTAATTTGAAGAAATAATTGGGTTATTATTTAAAATGGCATGCAGCATTAACGCTTGCCCTCAAAACGTTATTCTTTATCAGCAGACGGGTGATTTGAGTGCACAACCGCTTCTCTGCCATTATCCAGTGAAGGTATAAGTCTTCTAATTATCAATCAATGCAATTTTTTTAATTAATTAGTGTCCGTTTTACATTTAGCATTCACACCACTGCCGTTACATACATATATATTTGAAAAAAGTGGTTTTAACTCGCACTACATCTCACACAATTATGATTTGCGCTAATAACAGTAATGTACTAAGCTGTCATTTAATTAATAAAAAGTTATTATTAATGTAACTAATGAGAAATTAAATATACTTCTACTTTTCGTTCTTACTTTAGTATCCGACTTAATAGAAATTTGTCTCTTAGATTTGATGTCCTAGGTTTTAATTCGGTTGTCGACAATATCTACTATTTGGTAATATTAATTTTTAACTACTAACCAGCTTTATTAAAAAGTCATTACTATATTTTGTAAATAAAAAATTATTTATTTAATTAATAATCCAATAATAATGTTAAACAGGTAGTGCACAATTTGTAATTTTGATTTTAATTTAAGCATAGTTTGTGTATTTTCTAATTATCAATGTAACAATAACGAATTAAATAACAATATATGTAATATAAGTAAATATAATATACAATAGAACAATATAATGCAATTATATAATTATGTAATATAAATAATTAATATAATATATCGCAATAATGTAATGATGTAATATAAATAGTCAACAATATACTATTAAATAACGAATTAATGACTGTCGTAGGTTAGTGGCATATGTCGCTGCAAAGTAAATATGCCATACGAAAGGCCCATCTCAGGCATTTTTATTGATCAATATTAAAATGAAAAATTTAAATATATTCTGTATTTTATTTTTATTTATCATCTTACACATATAACATGATGATATCTGAAATCCAGTGATTCACTCTTTTAATCTCTTTTGATTTTGACACATATGTTCATCCGGTGAATAGGAAGATTGGTAGAAGGATTTTTTATTTTGACACATATCTTCATCCCGTGAGTAGGAAGATTGGTAGAAGGATATTTAATTTCAAAAATTTAGCTCTTTACCTATTATAAGTTTATAACATTTAACAACCATAAAATGTATACAAAAATCTATATCATTGTTGTTAAGATCTCAATCTTCATTTTAAAATCTTACGATTTTAAAATCTTACAAGCTGAAAACGATCTCAAATTCATTGGGATCTATTTGAAGCAAAATCTATAGTGGAATTTTATTATGCCGACTATGATATTAAGATTTTAAGACAATCAGATCTCACCTTTATAGTTTTATCCATGGTTGTCAAAATCGCAATCCTGATCGTAGGATTGTACGATCCTACGATCCTAGATATGAAAAACGACCCGGATCGTCATAGGATAGTATTTGGGGTAGGATCGCAGGGAGGATCGTAGGATTGAGATCCGATCCGATCCTACCTTCCCTTGATTTTTTTTTTTTTTTTTTTTGCAAATGAAATTTTTTTTTACCATTTTATGTCTTTTAACCTTTACCAATTTACCATTTATCATTTTGTATTGTGACTTATGACTAATATTTTGAAGTTTTTATAACTTTTTGAACTTTGAACGAAAAATTGAATGTTTGAAATATTTTTCATGATTAAAAATTATAAATTAAAATTATATTTTATTTTGAGGGATCTTAGGATCCCGATCTCGATCTTGCAAACCCAAAAATGATTCTAGGTAGGATCCCGATCTTGACAACCTTGGTTTATCTATATATAATTTTTTTTTTCCAAAATATGCAATAAATATTAAATCAAGATATTTTAAACTATATATCAACAACAAGTATTATGCTTTTTTAAACAAGCATTTATTGGTTTTTTATACGATAAAGTTATTTTTTTTATATAGACTTGGAAATTTAATTATATTTACTTGGTCATATGTATAAACAAAGTTTTAGTATTTTTGTTGTGAGTGGACGGGGAAATTCCGTGCTATTGTGGCTTCGTTTTCCCATTAAGATTATGACTCCTAGTTAATCAAAACATATATTAAGGGGACATTTTTGTTATGTAGCATATCATGTCCCAAATATAGGCGTACACGTACGGTTTGTTTGCGACACTTTCAAGTGACGACATAGAAGATATGAAATTATGAATAGAAGCAGTTGCGTATGAAGTAGTTGGAGGTTTTTCATCCTTTGCCATGAGATGTCACGTTGTATGCTTCAAAATATATTGGATTCGTGGTTAATTTTAATTTTTTAATTTTATTTAATATTTATATAGAAAAACTTTTAGAACCTGTCTCGAAGAAAACAGTCACTTTATAGTCTTTGACATAATAAACAATAAAAAAAAGTAGACGGTTTATACTTAAATTTACAAAGCAAATGGTTAATGTTTATCAAAACATATCTCTTATTAAAGATAAAGAGAAAAAGATAAGCAAATGGTTAATCCTTTCTAACAAATAAAAGTATTTTGTGGCACTTATCACATTCTCATTTAATTTGTCAAATATAATTTTGTGATTATTTTCAATTAATTTTTTTTCCATATGTCATTTTATAAGTTTTTTCTATTTTATTAAATTTCACATAATATTTCAATGTAATAATTACAATAAATGTAGTAATAAATAGATATCAATTTCATTAACAACTTACCTTTTAATTTCAAAATTTTCAAGATTAAAGCTAATTAGTTTCTTTTATTTATTTAAATTATTTGTTTAAATTTAAAAGATAAAAATGATTATAATAATTCATTATTTTTTCTTATTTTCTAACAAAATTAAAGTTTTTCAAATAATTTGACATTTATATTTAACTTTTTTTTAATTTAACCCATATAATAAATGGGTCTCACAACTAGTATTTATCAAAACATATCCCTTATTAAAGATAAAGAGAAAAAGATGTAACTATTTGGTGTTATAAAAAAATTAATGAAAGGTTATAGGGAAACTTGAAAAGCAACATAATTGCTCACATATTGATAGTTTGCGGAAGCCGTTGTTGTAAATGAGCATTTTAAAAAGAAATGAGACCTAGTTGTGTAAAGTAATTCTTTTTTAATTCTTGTTTTAGGGTCAACTACGTTGGTTTTTATTGGTTTTAGAGGTTCGTTCGTTCCGGTTGAACCCGATTTTTTGCAAACTGATTGTTTTTTTTTCTTTTTGCAAACTGGCTGGTTTTTACTAGCTCGGATTGAATCGACCCGCCACAAGTAATGTTGACCATTCTATTTTTATTGGCTTCATTTGCTTAAGGAACCATGCAATTTTTTATTATAGATTCACCATTTATTGGATCTTTGACTTTTGGCAACTTAACATTCATAATGAAAAAAAACAACTTTAGTAACGATTGGAGATAATTGCAACATCATAATACTTAGGGTTTGTTTAACTTTTATTTTAAACAAAAATCTTAATCCAAAATCTACTACAATAGTTTTTGAAAACTTTTAGCTTTAATTTTTTTATTTCATTTTACATATTTAAAAGCTATCAACAACTTTTTCCAAAACACATTTACATAAATAAACTTTTTAACTTCCAACTAGTATTTAGTTTTTCCAAACAAGTTCTTAGTCTTTGATTTTGAGGTTACACTCCTAAAACCAGAAGTACCTGTGATAGAGCCGCTTTTGTAAATCCTATATAATTTAGCAATGTTTGTTTTGTATTTCCTTATTAACTTGTATTGTTGTATTACAAAGAAGATCTATATACACATCATGCAATACATTGACTTTTCTCAAATCTAATACGGCATAACTTAGGAAAGTTTGTTTTGTATTTCCTTATTTACTTGTACTGTTGTATTATAAAAGGAAGTCAATATGCACATCACCAAATACTAGGACTTTTTTCTAAGCCAAATAACCTCTAATTGTATTTTGTCTTAAAGTTTTTGTTATCTGAAAAAGTCATTGGTTTTGTTGGGAGAGTAATTGTAACTATTGCTCCAACGACTTATAAAACTATACAAGGTTATGGAAATACTATATTAAATTTTGAACTATTGCTCTGGAGTATTTTCGATGATGTCTTCTATTTTTATAACTATTTATGTGTTCTTAAAGAAGACAAATAAGATAGAGGTTTTATTAATCATTTCATAGAGATGAAGATAAATTAGGTATTTATAGAAAATGAGATAATAAGAATGTGTTTGGCAAAAATAACTGAAAGCTTATAGCCGATAACTTGTAACTGATAGCTGAAAGACAAACACTATAGTTTTTATTTGTGTAAAAGTGTTTTGCAAAAACAGTTATAAGATTTTGAGATGTATAAAATGACATAAAACATAAAATCCTAAAAGTTAAAAGGTTAAAAGCTTTTGCTCAATTCATGTTTTTTTTTTCTTAAATTTAAAAGTTAAAAGCTTCTAAAATCCTCCAAACCTTGTTAACTATATTTTAATTGTTTAATTCATAGATTAACCATTGGAAATGCCCTTGGTCCTTTTTCATTAATTAATTATTATTTTAATAAATAGTTACATTTGAATATGTGGTATATATATATATATATACTCTAGTTCTTACGATTCAATGAAGTTGAAGTGTTTAGTTTAGATCAACTCCTATAATAAGTAAATAAAGGAAAACAATAAAAAGAGGGTAATAAAAGTTACACATACCATTTACTAGAGACGATAGGAGTAGATGTATTGGGGGTTTCAATTTCGGGCTATGTTCTGCCCTCAGAATAGCATGGGGATGTATTTCTTATCTCTTATCTTCATTTGTGTATAGGAGCTCATTCATTGCTAATATAGTTGAGTCATGGGGTTAGTTTTTTTATCCGGAAAACACAACAGTACCATCGGATCAAATATCGGATGGCCTATACGAAAAAAGGAAGTCTTGTGTAATATTATATTATATTAGGAAAAAAGGAAGTCAAGCTTGATCAAATGGTGGCACTATATTTATCATAACCTAAAGGTGCGAAGTTTGAGTTACAAATTAACCATTAAATTACAAGTACTGTATATACATCTTGGGGTTTTTTTTTTTAAACATCAAAGGCATATTTGACTAGTATCATCAATAAAATATCGCCTCCCTATTATTAAAAAAAAATAAAAAAAATAAAAAAAGGCAAATCTTGTTCTTAATGATTAATATAAAAACACAATCTAGTTTCTTTGACTTGTTCCTATTCACTTGTTAACTAATTTAACCAAAAAAAAGTGCACCTATATAAATGATCCTGGCTTCTTTTTCGAAGTAATTGAATTTGCAAATTCCACATGTAAATAACTTTATTACATAGTTGCGTCTGACTTTGAGTTAAGTACCCGAAGTAGTCTCTTACAAAATAATAAAATAAAATAAAGGATACGGTTTGCCTACATTTAACCCTTTTAGTGGGGACCCCTCACTACACATGGATGCTTTATACACCGGAGTTGCTTTTCATTGAATATCAGCTAACAATATGAATGTGAATGCAAATCGAACCACATGTGATGAGTAGAAGCAAGCACTTGTAAGAGTTATGTGTGAACTTATTCCTTTCTACAAGTGTCTTTGGTGGGCATGTGATTATAAAGAGGACTATGTCATGAAATGTTAGGCTGCCTAGTGCGTTTGGTGGAAAAGTGGAGGATAAGTTGAAAAAAATGATAAAGATGAGCAAAAGTGCATAAAGTTGGTATTCTTAATGCTCACGCTATCAATCCCTCAGAAAAAAATTAAATATTTTCCCACTGATCACCATCCACATAGGTCTAGTTACTTACGGTTTTAACTTTGTGTGTCATATTCAAAATTCAGTTATGCATTGCGTCTAGAACATATTCTACAGTGCCAGGTGGCAGTTTTTCGTATATGTTTCGGTGGTTATTGAAATCTTCATATTTGGGGTTAATACTTAGGGTAAACACCACAAATGTCACTAATTAAGTTTATAAGAAAATTTGATTTTGACACTGCGTTATTTTTTGTCTCAAAATTGACCTTGTGTTTCTAGTTTGTTACAATTATGACCACTTAATCGATCAGTCTTGTTGCCTGCTGACGTGGCATGATGTATTGTTATGATTGCGGAAGCCAAACTCGGAAATTATGAAGATCTAAAGAAATTAACAACACTTAACACTAGCCAAGAATTGAGGTTACTTTTTATTTTCTTAATGGTTAGATAGAAGTACAATGAGAGAAGACAAAGAAGAAAACAAAATCTTGAACTTATACTCTACTGATGTGTATCTATATATAGTCAACTTCAACTTCTTTTCCCTATTGACGGAAATGGTCCCTGGACTTTTTGTTTAGTTACACATTTATCTACAGTTATCATATACCCTATTTTGTCCCATTTACAAAAATGACTTCGAAGAAAAGTATGACTGCAGAACTTCAAGAAACATAGTTCATGCAAAAAGTAATTAATGCATTGCCAAGAGTTTTAGATGCTCTTGGAAGTTAATTAAATTTTGAATAAAATGCAGGCACAATTTGTAAGCAATGATCCAGACTATATCGGATGCAAGAAGAAGGAATGTAAAAAATATGATCAGATGGGAAAGTGTCTGGTGACAACATGTAGTGCCTCAATCACATTTCATGTTATCAACATTAGAACTGACATTCAATTTGTCTTCTTTGGTGCTGGATTTCAAACACCATGTGTTTTAGCAATATCTGAACTTCTCAAGTTTTCAAATCCAAAGAAGCCATTATATGGGCATCTCTCTAGTGTTGATTCCACAGGGACTTCAGTAAGCACCTATTCTTCAATATACTTGCTGTAGTTTTTCAAGAAATAACAACATAATTTACTTTTTTGACCAATATCAACAATCTACTTTACTTTTTAGCAATAGCAGCAATATGCTTCTATTTATGTTATATGTGCCCATAATAGCTTCATATTACATTTTCTCACCAGCAATTATGACAATATGTAACTCATAAAAGTGATGCAATTATATTTTCTTTACACATAAAATCAATATGCTTACAATTTTTTTATTAATAATAGCAATGTATTTCCATTTCTTTACATATAACATGAATATGTAACAAGTAGAGTACAATGCCCCTATTAGTAGAAAACGCAAGTACATTGTTATTTTATGTTAAAATTAAAGCACATTACTTGTATCTAGAAAAAGAAATGTAATTACGTTGCTACTATGTATAAAAAATAATGTACATTTCTCTAGTAGAGAAAGTAAAGCATGTTGCTATTCTATGAAATATTCCACTAAAGTAATGATTCATATTAAAAACCGATGTTCTCATGTCCAGATGAGATTAACATGGGTGAGTGGAGACAAGAAGAATCAAGGAAGAATCACAACACACGTTGAGACAAGTGACGCTCAAATTCATAGCGAATGCACGTACAACTCACTTAGGGTGATAGAAGGTGTCTTAGTCGTAGATTTATAGTTGTTCATCTTTTTCTTATATTTAATTTTATTATCTATGTTTCATTATAATTCAATGTCACTTTTATCTTTATCCACGACCACCAATTATCGTTCAATATGATTTTAATTTCTTTTATCCTAATTTAGAGACAATAGTCTTGAAATCTTGGTATTTTGGTTTTCTAACAAGTACATATGTGTCATTATATTTAATTAGTTGTTAATAATTAAAACTAAATTATTCCAAATTTCTTTTCATATTTTGAAAATATGAAGCTTCTGCATTACCAAGCCCTGCAGTAGATTTTGGTTGGCATGATCCAGGATACATCCATTCTGCTGTGATGACTGGATTAAAGCCTTCTACAAGTTTCTCCTACAGATATGGAAGGTAAGCCAATTTTTTATTAATTATTATAGAGAAAATTGTGAAGAATAACTTTTGTTTCTTTACCCATATTAACAATGTAGTTGTATTTCTTTTACCAATATTAGCAATGTACTTTATTTTTTACCTATAATAGCAATTTACTTTCATTTTGCTACGAATATCAGCATTATACTTCAAATGTTATCATTAAAGAATTTGTAGTACATTACTATTATGAGTAAAAAAATTTAAGTACATTGCTTTTATATGTAAAGAAAATGTACTTACATGCTATCATGAGTTACATATTGCTATTATTCGTAAAAAACTGCAATTACATTCATCTTAATTGGTAAATAAATGCATGTATACTGCTGTATATTGTCTATATTGGTATAACTAGTAAAGTATGTTGTTATACCCTGTAGTTTTCTTATTAGTAATTTCTATATAAATTCGAATTCGTAAAAGAAAACCGATGTAATGTGAAAACAAGAGATGGATGGATATAGCTGATATATTTAACATTTTCGTTTTTTTTTTAAATAATTTTCAAGCAATTCGGCTGGTTGGAGTGCTAAAATTAACTTCAAAACTCCACCTAGTGGAGGATCAAATGAACTCAAATTCCTTGCATTTGGTGATATGGGAAAGGCCCCTAGAGATGCTTCCATTGAACACTATATTCAGGTAAAATATCATTTTGGATTGTAACAACTTGATTATTCAAAAAAATTATTATTCTCTTAAGTTATGAATCTTGGTTTAAATATATTGTTATTGATAAATATGTATATAGCCCGGGTCAATAGCTGTGACTCAAGCCATGGCTGATGAAATCTCATCAGGAAATGTAGATTCCATATTCCACATTGGGGATATAAGTTACGCAACAGGTTTTCTAGTGGAGTGGGATTTCTTCCTTCACCTTATTACACCTGTGGCTTCACAAGTTTCTTACATGACTGCAATTGGAAACCATGAAAGGTATGATCGTATAACTAGACATTACAAGATTCATTTGCTGGAAATTCTTTCTTAAATTCCATAATAATGAAAAGGCAAATTGCAAACAAACAATTATTTTTTGGGAAATTTTGCCATTTAACGGAATGCACTTTATTTTTTAAATCAAAAACTACAAAAGTTTTAGACATTTTTTACAAATCAACTATTGGGACTTAGTATAGCCTTTCAAATTGGATATTTCGGATACGGTTAACCTCATAAATTGGAAATGAAATACTTGTTTTTTTAACAAAACTTCATTGATTTATAAAAATACAATCAGAATGTAAGCAAATCGAACGTTTTGTTCATAAAATACCATTAAAATCCATATTAATAAGGGTATTTTATGAACAAAAAGTTGAAATTTCATCCTATCTTATGATAGTACTTTTTATAAAAAAAATAGTTTTTGTGATAAAAATAAGTTTGTAAACCATTATGACATTCAACCTTTAGAATATTACTGGTGAAAACTAATATATTTACTATCAAACAGAGATGGTTTCAAACATTATTTCCAATTTTCATTTTGACATGATATAACATGTCAAATCTTAATCTGAAAAATTATTGGCAAAACGACTCATGTCAAAATGATTAATTTGAAAAAATATTTTATACTTATTATGGTTTGATTAGAAAATTTAAATGGTTAACTTGGAAAACTAATGGTGAAACCTATATCACAAAATTACACTTAAAAGTTAAAACTCATGTCAAAATGGTTCATTTGGAAAAATGTTTTAATTGAATGAATACAATATTAGTGGTTAACCTGCACAACTCACACATATAATTTTCCTTGCACTTAATGAAGTGATATTAAATTCTGCAACAATCAAGGAAACAAAAACAAAAAATGAAATAAACATACGTAATTATTAGTCTAAAGAATGAGGATCATGTAAAAGGGTTCTATCATCCCTTCACAATAAGTGCGATAGTAAAACTAACAAAGTTGGACAACAATCAGGGACTATGTGAGTTCAGGCTCATTATACATCACACCAGATTCAGGAGGAGAATGTGGTGTGCCTTATGAAAGTTATTTCCCAATGCCAACACCAGCAAAAGATAAGCCATGGTACTCCATTGAACAAGGAAGTGTGCATTTTGTAGTTATTTCAACCGAACATGATTGGTCAAGAAACTCTGAACAGGTATTATAATTCAATCACATTATAAATCCAAAAAAAAAAAAAAAAAATCATTTCGACTTTTAATAATTGACTCATATATGTCACAATGAACAGTATCAATGGATGAGCCGTGACATGGCTTCTGTGGATCGATCAAGAACACCATGGCTGATATTCACAGGGTAAGATACAATCATATAGGGGTGGGAATTTATGATACGACACGAAACGAAATTGGAACCAAACTGAAATTTGAATTCGTGTTCGTGTTAATAGTAAAAAAACACAATGTCGT